TGGCTGAGAAATACAAAGCACGAAAAAGAAAACAGAAGCAAAAAACGAAGGGGCTGGTGACAGACCAAATTCACCAACTTCTCGGTCATAAGTGGAATGTTCCTCCACAAACATATAACATAATTGATTTATATGAACTTTTCGACATTAAAATAATTGCTCTGAACCAGTGATCAGTCTACAGTTACTGAGTATGCCAAAATGCAGCTGTGTGAGTGATAGAGCTCTAGAACTTTGTGTGCTAATAATTTAATGATATGAAAAATGCTAAGTAACATGTCCCAAGTAAATTCCACTTTATCATGGAATGTAAGGCTCTTAGGAGTGGTAAGGGACAAGGGAATGAGATTGCAAGAAAAATACTTGTACATTTTCTAGTGAATTAAGATTCCTAATGGAAAGACTGATTTGCTATGTGTGATTTTTACATAGTTTTCAAAGCAAAAATAATAATAGTCACAAGAGAGGTCTTGAGTTTTAAAGCCATTTGACTTCCTTGTATAAAAACACCAAATTATAAAGTTCTGTTAATTTAACAGCTGCCAGGTTCCCTTGCATGGAAAACAATATGGATATATTTTATTCTGGAAAAAAATGATAGAAGCTATCTTTATTTGCATACTAGTTATAAGGCAGAACTTCTAAGAAATCCCATCTTAATCTATAAAGACACATAACTCCCTGTAGAGAGAGAGAACCATCAAAAACATGAAGAGTCCTCCCTTGAAACTGATAAAGAATAACTTAAAATCCTGCCTGATGCCATTTCATTCACATCCTTAAAGAGGAACTATAATGAGGTTTGGGGAAATGTTAGGGCATAGTCACAAAATAGTGTGGGAACCAATGAAACAGCAGTCATACGTGAAAAGCCATGCCCCGTATCACAGAACCAAAGGCGTGAGGGCTGGGACGGACAGGACCAACCCTCCAGTACAAACCCTTATTTCTGAACCCACAGGGGTAAGCTCGAATCTCCTACCCTCAGACCAGAGCTCTTTCCAGGATGCTACTGAATCCCTAGGAGATCCAAGCTCAGCAGCCATCATGTGTTTCTGCTGCTCAAAGTACTTATTTCCAGCCCTGCCTGAAATTCACAAGGGAATTTGAATAGGTGAGATTACTCATGTACTCACAGGTTTAAAATGCTGTGTGGGGTGGGGGGGAGACTGGGAGGAGAGATTCCCTGCTAATTCTGTCCCCTGCTTCTCTTGGGTATGGCAGGTGTCCCCACATGCATGCTGCATGCTGACCTGGCCACCAGCTCAGACTCCCAAACCCTGTCCAGGCTGGAGTATTGACTTATGTGTATTAACATCACATCGACTATGATCATCTTAAAGTACAGGAAATTGACCAGTTCTCAAGAAACAAAACTAGGCAGCTTGTATTTCTAGAGCATCCATTGTGAGCCAGGAGCCGGCATAAACATTTTACATGTGTCTGAACAACCACCTTGAAGAAGCATGTGCTCACAATCTAATCAAGAGGGTCAGGCACATCCGCACTCAGGCCCAAACAGTGCTACAGGCCAGGGCGTGAAAAGCACAGGGAAATGGAAGCCAGTCCCCACTGGGGAGCATGAGCACCGGCCGGGAGGGGCAGGGGGCACTGTGATGGTGGCATCTCCGCTGCGTTCCTTAGGGAGGGCAGGAAAGATGAGTCAGGGGCAGAGGGAAGGCATTCCAGGGAAGGGGAGGGAGTGGGAATACTCTGATCACAGTCAGGGAGAGTGAGCAGCTTAAGCCCTGCAGGTGGGCGGGGTCAAGGAGAAGAGACAGTGATTACTGAGGGGCAAACAAGTGTAAGCTGGCGTGGGCCTCCAGGGTGCGCGGATGAGGCTGAAATGCATCCTATCAGCCCTGAAGGAGCTCACCTTGGTTCCCTGCCTCAGATCCATCCCAGCTCCACTGCAAAGTCTAGTTTCAGTCCCCAGTCAAAACCCTCACCTCAGTCACTCCACTTATCAGGCCCACGCAGCTCCCCCTAGCCACCCAGCAATTGCTCCAGACACAGCAGTTTTGATTTGGGACAGAGGCAAATTACTCATTCGGGCATTAACTCCTACAAAAGAAATGACTTCCTTCTTAGGAATGCCTGACTACGGTGCTAATGGGCTGTGCCTCCTCAGACAGATCCTCAGCTCTCTGGAATCTGATACGTTCCTATGTTTACAGTCCACCTTGAGCAGCCACTGCAGTTCAAGAGATGGTGTGCGAGCCGGCTGCTGCTGAGGACCGGGGACGGCCTGCCTTCCAAATCCCAGCTATGCACCTGCCACACTCCCAGATTCCCAGCTGGAAAACGTCACCAGTGACTTGCTGCCCCTTCCACGGGACCCATCCTTCTGAGGAAGGGCAGAGGTTGAGCGGTGTTCTCGCACAGCTGTCCCTGACCACCCAGAGACAGGGACCCAGACAGCAGAGTGCAGCCGTCCCTGTGCGGCCCCAGGACCTACAGCCCTGAAGACTGTGCTGCGGGTGCAACGGGGTGCCCTGTCCTCCGCAATTGCTCACAGTTGTTGAACAGCCCCAGGAGACAGAGAAAGAACAGATGGTGTGAACACAAGGAGACCAAAGCTCCAGTGGATACAGGTGCTGCCCAAGTTCACAAAGTTACGGCTACAGCCTCATGTTTGAACCTTCGTGTCATCACCTCCTCGTGGTCAACAGGTAAATGCTGGGATGGAAGCCGGACACCGGGTGTGGTTCCTGCCTCTTCCACATCCTAGCAAGTTATTGAAACTCTTGGAAATTCAGGCTCCTTGCACAGACAGCTGGAAACAATGGCATGTTGGCCTCACAGAGCTGTTGCAGGATTAGAGACTGAGAAGCCTTGGCACTCTTGGCATCAGGGATGGTCCGCGTTTGGTGGGGGACTGTCCTGAGCACTGTGGGATGCTGAGCAGCCATCCTGGCCTGTGACCCACGGGACACCAGTAGCCCACTCCTCACCCAGTTGTGTCAACCAAGAACTGCCTCTACATATGGCCCAATGCCCTCTCAGGCTTATTCCCCCAGAGGACCACGCCAAGCTGGTTTTATCAAAGCAGCTGTTCCCTTTTGTTCTGTTGAGACGCTGTTCCCTTCCTGCCACAAAGCTGATCAATCCTTTTCTTGGTTCTCAAGCTCAAAGGGTCTTAAAAATTTTGAGGCACTCATGTCTTCGCTTTTTCATTTATACAATCTTGGTATGTTTATATAAGTAACCTCACACAAAAGCCAAGTGTTTTATTTTTTCCCTGAATAATGTGTACGTACACATGGGAAAAGCTAAAGCACTGTTAAGATAGCTAGTTTTTAGTGTCCTTGCTTTTTAAGAATTTTACTGGGATGTAATTGACATATAACATTATAGTAATTTCAGGTGTACAGCATAGTGACTGGATCTATGCATATTTGTAAAATCACCATCACTGTAAGTCTGGTTAACACTCATCACCACACATAGTTGCCCTTTTTTTTTTCTTGTGATAAGCACTTATAAGATCTACTCTCCTAGCATCTTTCAAACACAGAACACAGCATTACTAACTGTAGTCACCATGCTGTGCATTCCCCCTCAGGATTTATTTATTTTATAGTTGGAAGCTTGGACTTTTGTTTATAAATTGTATGATGAAAGAGGCTTGAGAAAGCTCAAGATAAATTCTGATCACCAAAATTATTGAAATATTGAAGAAACAAAGCAGTTAAGCAAAAGGAAATTGCCATAACTTAAGCTCAATAAGGCAGCTGCTTACAGGAAAAAGAACTTGACAAAGGAAGCCCTTATGTAATACACACCTATGATGTGAAGAAAAAGTAGAGCTGTGGGGGAAATATTTGGTCCCTTCTCCCAGGAAGGTGACTCTTCCGGCCCTTATAGACTGCTCTTCCCTGAACTATTCTTTCTGAGCATCATTCACAGTCAGTGGGAATGATCTGGACACATTTAAACAGAATCATTGTTCTGACTCAAAAATTGTCCAAAGTTTCTAAAACATACTCCTTGCTTATAAAATTGTGGCAGTATTTTAAATCAAAAGAATTTTTGATCTAATATTCCAGAACAAAGGAGTCCGTGGGCTGCCAACTGCTGCTGTTAGAATATAAGGGAGAGGGGCACAAATGTCCAAGAGACCCAATCTACAGCAACCAAGAGATGCACCGCAGGAGAGAGAATCTAGGTCGTCATCAAAAGCACCGTGCTGGGTGGACTTGAGCAAGACATGAAACCACTCTGAGCTTTGGTCTTGGGCACTGCAAAGTTGGTACAAGAAGACAAGGAGGGTTTTTGTGAAGCGTCAGTGGGCTAAAGCATTTCTGAGCACACAGAACAGAGACTGGCACATAAGAAGCATTCAATAAATGCAGAAATTGCTCTGGTTAAAGAACACTTTTCACAAGATTTCAGTAGGTGTTGTCCAAAAAAAAGAGACTCACAGTCAAATGTCTGGAAACACTATTTTAAACAAAGTCAACAGGCTTAAAAAAAAAACTTCCGGCAGTGCTTCTCAGAGTCTTTAAAATGCTGATACCCTGTGTGAACCATTTGACACCAGGACGCTTTGGCATAAGGCAATTCCTAAGACTAGCATGGGTAAAACAATGAGTGAATCTTTATCTTCCCAGTCTTCTAAGCCTGATACATAGTCTCAGATAATTGGGACTGCTTATCAGAATGCACAGAACTTTGAGTGTAAAAGATGTTCAACACTGCTGACTACCGGAACACACTAAGAATCTGGGACATAATGTTGAGTATTCACAATGGCACAAAATACATTATGGTGTCTGTGCTGCATTTTTTACAATTTTTATTGTGGCAAGAATACTTAATGAGATCTACCCCCTTGCAACCAATTTTTAAGTGAACTATATGCTTATACATTGTACAGGTAGAATGTTACGGCAGATCTCTACAGCTTAGTCATCTTGCATAACTGAAACTTTATATCCTTTGATGAGGAGATTAGATTTCCCCCTCCAACTATCCATGTTGATTTTTACTTCACTTACCTGAGACCCTTTTTCAGGAAAGCACTGGCAGAATGAGCAAGCTCTTCCTCCACAAGGACCAGTCAACTTCTTTCCACTCTGGAAAGTGAAGCCTCTGATTTAGTACACGGGAATTCATCATCACCAGCTGATCCATGACATATGCACCATAGCAAAAGCGCTCTTGATCTGCCTAACTCACAACAATCCCACAGCACACATTTACCTTTGAATCTGTGAAAGGAAAAGACTGATACTGACATATAAAAAGGCAGAAAACCTTACACTGTGGCTTGATATTAAAGAGGGTGGGTGATTATGTGAGCGAGAATAAAAGTTTATGTGAGCTAGGATAAACATTTTTTTTTAAAAGCCCCCTTCTAAAGCTACTTTGCTTTTAGCCAGAATCTTCTACAATTTCTCTCTCCTGGCAAGACTTCATTTACTAAGTTGTGAACAATCCTACAAGTGTAAACTACATAGCTGGGAAAATCGTAAGTGCACAGTGGTGTCTACACTACAAGTCTGGCCGCTTTTCAGAAACCTCTTGGTTTACCTCCATGCTCACTGAGTCTGTCCTGGGTCAATGCTCTAGTCGCACCCTTGGGCTTTCCATTAAAATTGTTCTTCTTACAATTTGCTTATATGCCAATACACAAATGTGTCTTTGAACCGGAAATTTCCTGATCTTGAATAATTTGGGCCCTTTCCCCAATTTCAACCAACTTTTCTTCAACACTCTCTTAAGAGAGTAATTCCATGCTCATGTACTTTCTTAACTTCAAGGCTTCCTCCAAACACACAACACACCCAGGTGCCCTTTGGAAAGAATCCACCCCTTGTTCTCCAAACCCTCATTATCTATTTCCAGAGCCATCAGTCACTTCAACACAAAAGTATAATCCCAGAGTAGCTGCTTCCATAAGGAGGTGCCTTAATAACAGCCACCAGGACGCACCTGCAAATGGAAACACCCAAGCTTTCATTCACAGCCTGGGGCCGCAGGCTGGAAGCGGTGGCAAAAGCAGCTCAAGGGGCCTGGAGGTGAGAGTGGGGATAGAAATGCCAGAAAGGCATCACGGACAGACTGTCTCGATCATGATGGGCCTGGTGCAGTTCTCACCACAGCATTCATGTATTAACTGCACATTTCCATAATGGCTCTTTGTAAACTCAAAGCCATAGGCTTAAACCTTTAGATCAAAGTACAATGGGGAAATATAAAATGGTTGAACTAATATTTATAGGTTTGAGGGAGGATATATATACATACATATATACTTATGTACATAAGTATGTGTGTGACTACACATGAACATATATGTATATATATGAATATGCACACGTGTGTATGAATATGTATGTGTATATGAATATATGAATATGAACATGTATTTTTCTTTTCATTTACACAATTCAGACCTCTTCTTTTCTGGAGTAATATGCTAAGACACAATCCAAAAGAAAATATCTTTAGATTAAGCATTAATTTGAAAAGACATCATTATAAGTAAAACTCGTATTAGTCCTTCAAAGTATATAAGAACTTGAAACTTGTCAAGAATTAAGTTAAAAAATGTATCTGAAGTTTCAGAAATACATGCCTCTAGAGTTTTGAGTAACATTGTTATCTATGAATGCAGAAACATTAAGTTCAAAACCCTGATAAGGTTAAAAACATTAAAAGCTCAGGGCCAGGTTGGCCAGCATGAAGCACTTAGAGTAAGTAGTCTGAACACTTAGGTTCATTTAAGGTCGGGATTCATTACTATGCATTCAGAGAAATCAAAACAACTACAGAAAAAAGGTCAGTTGATTAGATGGCTTGATAACAAAGGCAAGTTTGTTATTTTAGTGTGTGTGTGTGTGTGTGTGTGTGTGTTTGCTTAATTATGCTAAGCATCACTGAAATGTTTGTAACAAAATTACATTTCAGGAAATAATCAGTTTAAAATACATCAGCAGATTCTAATAAAGAAACAGGAATAGTCACATAAGCTTTGTCTGGTACTAATAAAAGAAAAAAGCAAGAGATGATTTCAATTTCCACAAAGTTCTTCCACATTAAACATATCCCAATAAACATCGTTTTAAAAGAGCAAATTGTTTATAGAGGAAGAAACTGCACCTCAAAAACAGATGATATAAACCCATTTAAAAAAGATAAAGAAAATGTCACAGACAAGTCAATATTCAAAGTATAAACCATAATGCTGGGAATACACTGACATTCTCAAAAACCAATGTTATTTTTATTCAAGGAAAAATATACACATATACACAGACATACACTTTTCTGGTGCTTTTGGTCTTGTTTTATTTTTACCCAAATGGTATATTTCTTTGTACCTTGCTGTTTTTACCAAATTCAATGTCTTCAAAATAATTCTGAATTAATATATATGGTTAGCCATCTGCTGAAGTGCTATAACTTGTTTAATCAGCCCTTATTGAGAGACATTTAGTGATTTCTCTTCCACCCTGAAGCGCATCTTCCTGTGCATTTTTCTTTATGCACAAGTCAGTATAAATATGTATGAGGGCCCAAAAAGGGAAATTCCTGCATTAACAGGCATATGCATTCAAAATCCTAATGGGTAATGCCATTGCCTTCCATAGATATTGCATCAATTTGTATCTACCTTTAAATCCCAGCTACAGTAAAGCCACTTGCTGTGAGACCTCTAAGACTCTGCATACCACAAGCTCGTAGGAAGGTCTATGCTAGGACAACCAGGACAATCTTTGGTTCAGGAATTATATTCACTCATATGGAACATAAGTGAAATATAGGACTGCAGACTTTTATAATAGAAAATGAAGGAAATAATACAAAGTAAATTTTGAAAAATCAGGTAAGAGAAATAGAAAAAAAATCCACACACTGGTATTTCAGAATGTTTCTATTCCTTATTTCAGGTGATGCGCTCAAATGTGTGTGAACTAAGTTGGACAAGTCTCATCATTTTTACTTCACTCAGGAGACAACCAAGCCTTGTGCAGGAAAAGGGATGAGTCACTGGCAGGGCGAGAACCAAGGGCCTCTTGATGTTTTCTCTCTCTGGTAGGAAAAGGAGAATGGAAGACAACTTTCTGTTCTGATTTGCTTTGAAAACACTTATGATAACATGAATCACAGAAACTGGACTGGGCGCATCCACGCTGGAGAGGATGAGCAGGTGGGTATGCTAGAGTGATTCAAACCAGTCCAGCTGTCTCACAACCGGTCTTAGTTACAGGCAGCCCAGAGTGTGATTTCCCAGAAACGTCCGAAGTTGGGTTTAATAACTTATATTCTTTAGTGAGCAAGCAGAAGAAAGAGATCTTATTACAAAATGTTCTAGGTTTATCTTTCTCTGGAGTTAAAATGCTCACATTTAATCTTACACTTCTTGATTTAATCTTGAAATGACCAAGCTGCTTCCTGTCCCCTCTGAAAAAAATTTTAAGAAACAGTTATTTTGTAAAATAAAGAAATCTCCAGTACTTAGGTGATACGGTAAGCAGTCTTGACTGTAAAATATAAATGAAACTTTTGAGTTCACCTAGGCCAATGCTTCATTTTACAGATGAAAACTGAGCCCCAGAAGTGACCTGTTTACAAGTCTAACAAAAAAAATGCATGTAATCAGAGATAATTAATGTACTCACCACATATGCATGGTGTGCAGAAAAGAGAATAAGCATAAGTGACCTACAAAAAAAAAAAAACCAAAAATACAGATTAATGTTTTCATTATTATGCAAAATAAACTAAAAAGAAAAAGAACAAAGGAATTAATTCCAGACAGCTTCTTTGTATTTCCAACAGGCTGCTGTCACCAGCTGATTGTCATCACTGACAAGATAAATGGTGCCCTCTCTCTGTCTTCATTATCTCTCCTCTTTGTAATCAGTCAATAAGTATTCACACCCCTCCATGGGGTCCCCATTGTGCTGGGTACCCTGGGGACACTGAAGGTGAGTCCTGGATGGATAAACAAGGGAAGAGAGGGGACTCTTGGAATGAAAACTGGAGGAGAGAGCCAAGGAGGCAGCTCCGTTCGGTGCAAAGATCCAGAATTCCAAAGACCATGGTATCCTGGATGCCATTAAGTGGAACTGACTGGAAGGAGGGAGTGGGCAAGAAAACTGTACTGGTTTGGGGAGTGGTTTGGAAGGAAACATATGAAATAGGGAAGACTTAGGTAGGTCAGGATCTTACAAGTGAGGCAGAAATCCAAGTGGGGTAACATGATTATTATAAACAGATTTTAACAGAGAAAAAATGCAACCAAAAAAGACCACCACTATGGACTTAATATCTGTGTTCCCCCAAAGACCGATATGCTGAAATCCTAACCCCCAGCATGACTGTTTTAGGAGGTGGAGCCTTTGGGAGCTTATTAAGTCAAGAGGGTGGAGCCCTCGTGCAAGGGATTAGTGCCCTTATAAAGGGACCCCACAGAAGTCCCTCATTCTCTTCCACAATTCAGGGATACATCAAGCAGTGGGCACTCTGCACCCCAGAAGAGGGTCCTCACCAGACCGACCAAACTGATACCCTGATCTTGGGCTCGCAGACTCCAGAACTGTGAGAACAGAATTCCTGTTGTTGATAAGCACCCCCTCTGCGGGGTCTGTCACAGCAGCCCGGTCTCAGACAACCACTCACATAAGTGAGACAACCACTCACCACCTTGGGCTTATGTTAGTCAAGGGTCTTCCATAACCATGACCTCCTTTGCTCCTTAACACAGCTTTGAGGGAGCTGGGGCTTCAGGCCACATCATCCCCATGGACGGGACGAGAACCCAGGCTCTTGTTTCTCTGCCAGTCTTGTCCTTTGTTCTACGTAGAGTTTTCTCCTCTCAAAACCTCACACCCTACGTGAGCCTTCTTTCTCCACCCTCTGCTCCTTTCTCTGGTGCTGAAATGCTGACGAACATTGTGGAAACCTACAGCCATGCATGCCTTCACGCGATGCCCCAACTAGGAGATGGGTGACTAGGGTGGGTGTAGCCACACTGACTGGCCCCACACTGGAGCCTCCCTTCTCCAGATCCTATTGAAATCCATGACGATTCTAATCAAGGCCAAGCTGGCATTTCATTGATGCAACTAAGTAAATTAAAAGACTACAAAGGTGAGCAAGGTGTTTGTTAAACACTAGGTAAAAACTGTTTCACCTCAAGGTAAAGGATTTACAACTACTATTTGTTACTTGGGTCCTTATCAATTGGACATTGTTAAACAAGGGCATATAAATAAGGATAAGCTATCTTAGGGCAGTTTGGGCCTCCTTAGTCTCATCAAAACTTCAGTCAGGGTTATTTTCTCCCCATTTTACACATAGGCAAACTGAATCAGAAACATTGGATAATGTCCTCAAAATGCTGCCGGCAGAGCTGCACAGAATGGCCGGCTCACATCAGCTCTGTTCCTTAACCCTGCCCTCTGCCTGCTCCTCCTGCTGTTGTAAATATTTAAAAATAAGACAATTCTTTTTTTCCTGTAAAGAACCATTCAAAATTAAGATTACTTTGCTCCTGGTCTCCTTGCACGGCCCATGGAGTCTCTGCTGCCGCATCTCTCTGACCTCGGCTGCCATTACTGTGTCTCCTTCACAGACCGTCACCCTCCTGCCGCCCTCTCTTACTTCTAAGGACCCTTGTGATTACTCAGGGCCCACCCAGATAGTCCAGGATGATCTCGCCAAAGTCAGCTGATTGGCAACCTCAATTCCCCCTTGCCACGTAACAGAACATATTCACAGGTTTTGGACATGGACATCTTTAGGGGTGGTTGGCCTGCCTACCATACTTGTGAAGGGTGCTGTCCTAAGTCTCCTCGTCATAGGAACCCCGCTGCCCTGGACATGCAGGAAGCTTTTTGTTCTTCGAACCTAGTGAGTAGGACAGTGAGAATCTGCAGCCTCTAGATGAGCATCTTCCCACTGGGTGATGATGTGGGTGCAAATTGGGGAGAATAGAGAGGATTGGGCTTTAGTAATAAAATAATCACAAAATGGCAGGCATAATCTATAAAGGCTGCAACCATGTGACTTTTGGACACATGAAGCATTCAGACAATTTACACCATAGAACCAACATTTAGGAGGAATTACAAAGTAAAATCAAGTGATGGGCCTGAGGACACTCACCATGGACCTGTGGCCAAGGGCTTCATGCACCGGAAAGAGCACCTCATTAGCGCCATGCACACCACTACTTCACAGATAAGTCTTGATACTTAAAAAAAATTCTGTCAGTTTTCTCTTCTCTCCCAGGAGACTCTTGCTTGTCTACATCTGGGGTTTTAAAGTCTGTGTATGTTAAACATAAATACATCTCTTAAAACACAGTATGCAGTACAGCACTGAAAATAACTACTTTCATTATTCATAATTAGTAATGGAAGTATTTTCTAAAGGGAGACTTCAACAGTATTTTGACATAATCTTTCCTTAGTGATGGTTAAACTGAATGAATATTATTTTTCTTTTTGGAAATAAAAGTAATCTCTAATTCTTTATATGTTACAAATATATTTTTGAGAAATAGAACAATATATATTTATAATGCTTGTATAAAAATTATTGCTTCATTTTGTGAAGTGGCAAAATGATTTTAATTTATTTTAATCTTTTCCCTTGGAAACTCTAAGAAAAAATTCAAACAAGTGTTTTTTAGGTTTGAAACTGGGAAAGGAAACCTCTAATGTAGAACTATACATTTTGCACACATAAGCAAATACATATAAAAATATTTTTATGTAAAATGGTATAATTGCTATGGAAAACATTTGGACAAAAATTAAACAGAGAGTTACCAGCAATTTCACTCTTAGGCATATACCCAAGAAAACTGACAATATATATTCACTCATAAACTGGTACATGAGTATTCATAGCAGCATTATTCATAACAGCCAAAATGTGGGAACAACCTTAATGTCCTACAGTCATACAACAGATTCAGCCATGAAAAGGAATGAAGTATTAATACATGCTGCATCATAGACAAACCTTGAAGACATCATGTTAAGTGAAAGAAGTCACAAACTGTGTAATTCCATGTATATGAAATGTCCAAATTAGGTAAATCCAGAGACAGAAAATAGATTAGTAATTATTTGGGCAGAGAGAAGGAAACTAGGAATGCTGAATATTATAAGCTATATTTATGGGAGACTACTTTTCCCAAAAAGTGCTACAACAACATTCCATAATATAGGTTCAAAATCAGGTAGAAACAGAATTTTCTCCTATCCCTACATGCGTCATTCAGAACACATTTTTAGTTTCATTCTCAAGGCAAGTCTTGATAAAACAAATTACTGTTTTGGAAGGAATACACAAATTGGTTTCAATCATTCAAAATGTATTAAATATTTTGAACAAACAGGGAAAAAAGTGAAACATAAAGAAAACCAGAGTTATTTGGATTTAACCAAAAAATAAGATAAATGATGCAATTCATCTCCATACATATTGTGACAAAGGGTGCACAAAAGAATTTCATTAAAACAGAGTATTGCTGTATCATCTTTCAGAGGAAGAATGCCTGATCATGGTCCTAACACCACGGAGTTCCAATACATTTTAATTGAATGGCTGGCTGGCTGGCTGGCTGGCTGGCTGGCTGGATGGATGGATGGATGGATGGATGGATGGACAGGTGGGTCAATCTGCAGAAAACCTAGAAACCTAACTAGTAGTCTCCTGTAGTCAGTGGACTTCCCGGTATGAAAAGATATTGACCAGCAGTGAAAGGACACATCTATACTGGGAATAGTCAATGCACCCTCATCACCATGGGCTTAGAAAACCTTATGACAAAACGATTTTGTCCTTTTTTATTGAAAGATTTATCTCCAGTGCCATAACAGTGCCTGGAATATTTTAAGTGCTTAATATATATTTGTTGGATGAATTTATTTATAGAAGACACTGTTGGACCTTTAGCATGTGCATCAAATATATTGAACAGGGATGTAAGATAAGGCTAACTTTGAATGCACATGAGGGTGGGGCGGGGGGAGGAAGGATGAGGGAGCTGGAGAGAGGGATCCTAAGAGCCTGAGGGCACCGAGGAGAAACTGACATGCACTGATGATGGGTAGGACCCTGTGCTGGGAGGGATGCCTGCATCAACTCATCTCAGCATGATTCAGTAAGGAACATATCATTTCCATTGCAAAGGAAAAACAAACTGGATTTGTTTGTGCAAAGTCATTTGTGCAAAGTCATGGAACTAATAAATGGCAGAACACAGGTTTTTTCACTCCAATCTGTGTCCCTTCTCCCAAGTGATGCCCCAGCAGGGCAGCCTTCAGACTTGTCTGCTCTCAGACTCCCATAAGAATTTGAAAAACCTATGCGCAGTCTCTCTTCTTCTTTTTTTAAGTTAACATCAAAACACTTTCATAGCCTCTTTGCACAGTCGCAGAGTATGATTTGGAGCATTGTAAATGGCGACCTAGATAATACAACTTTAGATGTAGAGGGGCTAAGAACCAAAACGTCACAGCGATCTGATTTTCACTGCCATCGGTTTAAAATATACGCACACGAGTTCTTCAACAAGTTAGGAATTTCACATTATTTTTCTTCTTGAATTCATATTTCCATTCCATTCCTCCACATATATCCTAGTGCAATATAATTTTATGCTTTAAATTCTTATATTGATTGCCATACTTCCCTACAATAAAAGTATGTCCATAAATTGAATATTTTTTTTATTTCCTATGATCATAAATCTCTAAATCTTAAAAAAAATTACTCCTGGATTGGCTTATCATTATGATGATTAGTAGCATATATATAATCCATCAAAAACATACATAAATGTAAATCTTGATAAAAATTATTACACATGATGAAATTGTATTGGAAATGTGGTTGGCAATGAATGAATTCGGCTTCTTTTTTTTCTCAATTAGTTTATTCAACCCTAGATTAATAATAGTTCTTACTGGAATGAAACAACTTCAGCAACAATTCTACTTCTATTTTAATTTTTAAAGCTGTCAATTCTAATTAATCTTACAAAAATAAGAAATTATGGATGGAAGTAATCTGTTACATAAATGTCACTCAATTCTTTGAACATCTCCCAAATTGTATGCCGAAAGCGATACAGAATTTATCATAAAGAACCATTTTGTGTAATCTACCATCTGTTTAGTCTCCCTTCAGATGTGATGAAAGCAAAATGTTGGAAAGCATGTGGCCTAGGAGACCTGTAGCCCAGTGGGGAGGACGCTTTTTCTGTTCTCAACACCTGGATTTTCACTGCCCATCCTTTGCTCCCACAAACTGTTCTTACCCTCTGGGGCAAAGCAGAGTGGTAACATTTGGGATCAAGGCAGGCAAGGGGATGGGATGGGAGGATGCCTTTCTTTTGAAAAGTAGAAATATGTGTCCATTGGAGTCTATCATTAATACCAAAAAAGTAATTAATTCATTTAAAAAGCCTGAACAACCCAAATACTATGCCACTAATATATATATATACCAATAACAGCTTTGGGATATTGCCTACTTAAGAAACTTTTGCAAAGTTCTGGACCTTTCAAAGGACATGCTTTATTTTGCCAACTGTCGCTCTCAAGGAGGGAGTGTCCTCTATAGACTGCTGCATCAGAGCCCCCTGGGGCTCATTCCCCAGGGCCACCCCATGCCTGATGCCGTCTTACAGTCAATTCCCTTTACTTGAGCAAACTGACCTCTGCAGCCAAGTCTGACAGAAAGTGCCTCTCCCACCCGCCCATCACAGCCAACCCTGAAGCTGCGACACCCCAACAGGGAGCTCATGGGGAGCCCCCACCCAAAAGGTAACCTGAAATAAGCATTCTGGACCCTTGACACCCACCTTACTCCCTCACCCAACTACGGCCCACAGGCTCTTCCCCAGCATGTATTTATTTCAGTAATTTCTATCATATATATTCATCAAATATCATTTTATGCTCTTCCTCCAACTCCTTGGAATTATTTTTTTCTTTACTCCTTTATGAAATTCCTGGACTTCAATTCCTCTGGGACTCCTTTGGAGTCTCTGCACAATGTTTTCCAAATGCTAGGTCTGGCAACCAGATCTGAGATCTTCCAAATCTTTATCCCTACTTTGGGGAATTTTTTTTTTCTGCAACCCAGTCTTGAAAAGAAATACACCCCACTGGGACTCTCATTGACTGGGGTCTGGAGGTGGGGGAGGTGGGCAGTGGCCAAGATTAGAGGACCAGATAAACAGAAGGTTGAGTACCAGAACATTCCAGTCACAAAAAGGTAGCAAAAGAATGATGTCTTTTCTTTTCCCAAGTAACACATTAATAATAATACTAGTCTTCTTTCAGTGAATCAATTTCCTATGAACTCATGATTATATGTTCTTTCCTTTGACCTTTTGACACTGAGCTGTATGCAAACTCTTTCCAAGGAGAAATTTTTTTGCTCATTTGAACATCTATTTGTATATACTTTTACCTTTCCAAGATAAAATGTTTAAAGGCTCAGCTTTTGCAAAGAAATAAGCAAAGGGCCTCAGAGGTTAGAAAAGTGCTCCCAGAAAAAGAATAGAATGCTTTGTCCACCTTCGTGACTGGACAACAACTTTTAAGGCTCACGCTTTCCCTGTTAATAACTTGAACTTTCCCCAACATGCAAGCTGGTTACGCGGCTTATTGGTCTTTTTCAAACCCTTTATCCTTGGGTTGACTCTGTCTGAAGACTTTTAAAGACTTCAGGTTGGTTGGAGCTTTTTAGCAAAAACAGTCAATCTCATCAAATATCCCAAGGTCATGAATCTGTGTGGTCCATGGACAATGAGGCTGGAGCTTGCTGTTCTCTGAGAAGCAACTGGGAAAAACTTGAGAACTCTTCAGTAAATTCTTGAGAATCACTCTGAGTTCTAACTTGACCAGAATGCTGTTGGATTAGGGCCAAGGCCGCCCCCACCTGGCCCTCCCTCCGGGTTCAGCTGAATTGTTTGAAAGTGCTTCAGAGGCCTCAGGTGACCTTGGAGTTGAGTTTGCTAGTCCAGAGCCAACAGGATCGCATCTCAGGAGACCGACCGTTCTGCCAGTATAGGCTTTGATTATCATTTTCTCCTTGAGGTCTTCTCCTCCCAATAGTAACAGAAAATTTGACAACAATCATTATAATGTCGCCCCTTGGGAACCACACGGAGGCAATACATGTTCCAAAAATATACAACTGATGCTCAGAATGGGACGGGCCCCTTCCCTTCAAGTAAGAATGACATTCTTAATTTAGAATGTTCGGTATGTTTTTTTCAAAAACACTGATCCCCCAGGTTT